CTCTGAGGCCTTTCCAACGTCGTTACATTGCGATTAAACGCCATCGCTGCACCCCATATCGGCGCTGCATACAGAAGCTTGCTTGCCACAACCGTAGCCAGGAGGGACCTCTTTTTCTGCCTCGGGCCTCCAATGTTAGGCATAAGCCTTGATAGCGCAGTCGCCGTGACTTGTGCACTGGCCGCTGCCGATTCCACGTGCGCCCTAAACCCGAGTACCCTGTGCAGCACGACTCCTAAATACCTTATGCTCTCTTTCAGTTCGATGCGGCTGCCTAAGATTGAGAGGCTCGGCTGACTGTATCCCCTCTTCGTCGTCAACATGACTGCCTCTGTCTTCCTAACCGACAGAGATAGTCCAGCACCCATCATCCACTCGGCAACTTTATCCAATGCCTGATTGATAACCGTCTCTAGTATCCACGTAGTATGGCCTGTTGCCACCACAGCCACGTCATCGGCGAAGGCCACCAGTTCCGTGGACGACATACCTCGTTCATTGCCTCCTGTGTCCACTTGCAGGAGTTCGTCATACATTATATTCCACAGGAGAGGCCCAAGCACTGAACCTTGTGGGACACCGCACGTGGTGGGTGTTGAGCTCTCTCCGTGGACCACAGTCCGGTCACTAAGGTAGCTCTCGATTATACCAACGAGGTAGGGAGGCATACCTTTATCCCTCATGGCCTTTACTATCCTCGGCCATCTTGCCGAATTGAAAGCATTCGCCACGTCCAACGCCACGACTGCGCACAGCTTTCTGTTGTAAAGCTGTCCAGAGCCGGCTGCTTCTACAACATCCAACACGCGTCTTATGGCGTCCACCGTCGACCGCCCCTTTCTAAAACCGTATTGACGGTCATCGAGGTCACCGGCTTCCTCGAGCTGTTTTTCGATGCGGGTCTTTATTAGTCTTTCGAAAAATTTGCCTACCGTGTTTAGCAAGCAAATTGGTCTATAAGAGGAGGGTTCCTCGAGAGGTTTGTCCCCTTTCCTTAGAAGCACGAGCTTCGCTATCTTCCAACGATGTGGGAAGACGCTCTCCTTTAGACATTTATTAAAGATGTCCCGTAGTATCTCTGGCTTGTGCCTAGCGACGTTTCTTACAATCAGGTCGGGTACACCATCAGGTCCCGGTGCCTTTCCTCGGGGGATCCTGCTGCTGAGCTCCACAATTTCCGTTCTGGTGACCGCTGGGAAGTCATGGGTTTCCATGCGTGGTGGCCAGGCGATGGTTGCCTCCCTCGGGAATAGAGCGTCGACGATCGATTCCACTCTTCCTGGCGTGGAAAGTCCGGGAATGGGTCTCCTACCAACTAGTTTTTTGGTCACCAATTTGTATGGTAGGCCCCATGGATCCACTTCTACCTGTTTCAGTAGGTCGTTCCAGCTGTTCCGTTTGCTGACTCTGATGGCCACTTTCAGTTCTTTCCTAGCACGTCCAAACTCCTCCCGCCTTTGATCCTGATCCGGCTGCAGGCGTCCCCTCTTGACACGGCGTCTCGTTCTGTTGCATTCCTCACGAAGTTTTTCTATCTCCTGCGACCACCAAAAAGCCGGTTTTTTGCCTCCTGTGTACCTGCCCTTAGGCATACAACTGTCGCACGCTTGTTTAAGATACAGGTCGAGCATTTCCGTGGCTGGTATCGCTTCGTCACAGGTGATATCAATACTGGCCAAATTCATAAAGTCCCTTAGCTTGGAGTCGTCGTATCTCCTCCATGACCACCTTTCCTCCGGTGGACGGCGCTCTGGGCCGGCAGCTCCAGTGATGTTAAACGCAATATACTTGTGGAGGGATGCGCTGTAAAGATCCAGTACCCTCCAGTCCTGCACTTGGTAGCTGCTGCTGTCGTTGACAAACGTGATGTCGATATGCGATCTCGATATCCCGCCTGCATACACTCTAGTAAATGTCGGTTTGTCGCCGATGTTGCACGTAGTGAAGCCCAGACTGGCGGTCATGTCGACTAGTGCACGCCCCTTAGGTTCTTCATTGTGGTCGCCCCATACCGGTGCCTTCGCGTTGAAATCACCGGCGATTATGACCGTCCCTGCCTGTTGTCTTATGCTTCCCTCTAGCCTGTCAAGGAAGTCCACGAATAGGGTGAAGACGGTGTTTGGAGACCAATAGCAAGTGTACACAGTGACGTCCTCCACTTTGACCCATCTAAATCCCACGTTGTCTTTTGGGCCGGCGGCTCGTACTTGCAGCCTTGGATTTGATAGAAAGATGGCCGCCTTTCCACCGGCGTCACTGAACCATCCGTCTGCCTCAATCCCACAGCGATACGGTTCACTCATGATAATCACGTCGATGTTCATGTTCGATGCAGTGGCCAGGGCCAGGTCCTGCGCCACTCTGCACACTCCTACATTTATCTGTAGGACACTGATCATTTTGGTGTGCATTTGTCCTCCGTCGCTCCACTCGAGCGATATGATCCTGCGCTAGGCATGGATTTGGACGCCTGCAACACCTCGGCAAAAACGTTTGCCGCTTGATCCGTGGCACTACAGTTGGCCGCTTTGTGGCCAGTTTCGCCGCAGCGCCTGCAGCACTCGGTCCTATCTGGACCTTGGCATGACTTGGCCTCATGGCCGTATGCCAGACACTTAAAACACCTAACTTTGGCGTCGCAGTGCCTGACACTACAGCTCACCATACCCACCCTCAGCCGACCTTGACTAACGATCACCTGCGTAACCTCCTTGGGGGCGGAGACTAAGGCGAGTTGGGCTCCACCGAAGCGCTTCCGCATTCTCACTAGCCTTATCGTGCTCGGGTCGCATCCTGTGGCCGAAGTTATGGCTTCGAGGACCTCAGGTCCATCTGACCATTGGTCCAGGTCCCTGATTTCTACCAGCTCCCTCTGCTGCAGTGTCCTGACACCGATTTCGGCCCCTGCAGATCTCGCAATCTCTGCTCTCACTGCGGACACTTCTTCCGGGTTGCCACGCACCTCAATGAGGAGGCCGCCGGACTTTGCCTGCCTCATCCCCACTACGCGGTTACCAATGACGTCTCGGCATGCCCCACTGCGGATTTTCTTCGCGAGCTCGGGGAAGTCCTCATTGCTGACGTCCACTAGGATGGCCGGGGGGCGTGCTCCCCGTCGACGGCTCGGCACCCGCTCGGTTAATTGGACGTCTGTTTTGTCGCCTTTGTCCTTCTTGCCCTTGCTCCTAACCACGTCCGTCCAGGCTGTCTGCTTTCCCCGCTCTGCCATCTCATCCATCTTTGCGCTCTGCGCTTCGAGCAGCGTCTGCAGATTAGCGACTGCCGCCTTGACTTCCGCGCTGTCGGTGCCGCCAGGTCTGTCGTATTCTCCAGCCTCATTTCCTCCGGACGTCCTTGTGCCAACTCTTGAGATGGCGTCTAGTACTGTCTTATTAGACTCATTAACCACCGCACTTAAGTTCTGGGTCAGAATAGTCACCACTTTCTTGGCGTCCACTACCATAACCTTACTGCCAACTGCCTGGCTCCTCATCACTCTCATCTCGGCGTTATTACTCTCGATGGACCCTATGATGTTGATCACCTGGTCAACGCTCTCCTTGAGCCCCTTTACCTGCGTGCGCTTAGCCATCTCCTTCAAAGACTCTGCCTCAGCCTTGAGCATTCGGAAGAGCCCCGAGTCTTTTCCCTCGAGGTATTCAAGTGTCACTGTGGCTGGCTGTGAGGGCGGGGATTCCATGTCAGAGTTCGGCATGGTGTCCGTGGCAAGGGAGAGGTCCGGCGACCCTTGCCCCCTTTGCTTCTACCACTTCTCCACTCAGCAGCGGGCGGTGAAGCAGTGCAGGGACCAAATCCGAAGGTATCGGAACCTACACTAGCTATGATTGCCGTTTGCCTCACTGTCCCTATCCCGGTTCACTGTCCCTATCCTTTCCCCTAACTCCGCTCCTGGGGGGTGTAGGGGGTTCCGGATTGCGGGATGGTATCCGGTGTGGTCGTAGGAGGTCAAGGGGTTTCGGGGGGGCAAAATTTTACTCCCGAAGCTCTAAAGTGAATTCCTAACGAGTTATTGCCAAAAAACTGTTTTGGAGGCAAATTTAAATTTGCCGCCAAAGGACAGATAATGCCGTCAGTTGGCCGCCGACACTAGGCCACACGCCGTCGGCTGGTCCCCGTCGCCTTATCACGGGGCAGTTCTTCCCCCGACGCGAGAATCAGCTGTTTCGCCGGAATTCCCGTTTTCCACACGGCGGCTTTGGGCGGCCGTGTAAAGAGATAGGGGGTAAAGAAAAACTCAGTTTACTCACCCGTTGTTTGTCGGAAAACTTCGGTCGAGGTGGCCACGGCTTCGTCTTCACCAGACGCGTCTTCTGGGCCACCGCGCGTGAACTTTCCGCGTGTGTTTCGGCCACAATCTTCACGGCGGCACAGGGGCTTGTCCTGTGTGCTTACTCGGCACCGAGGGGTCCGGGGTGGACGCGCGATGCACCGAGCCCTTCGGGAGGGTCCGGTGGGTCTTAATCGGGCCGACTCAAAAGCGACACCGGCCCGAACGCGCACTTTTTATCAAAAAAAACGAATAGTGCGTAGCACAGTAGCTCAGTACACGTGTGTGACACGATAATTGAGATTTCTCGGCGAAAACTCAACCGATTTCCACGCGGTTTGTGGGAATCGACGCAGAGCGGACTAATGCGTCGATTCGAACGTTGCGCGCAAAAAACGGTGAGGTATTACTGGAGAAAAAACAAAAACTCTCGGGAGCGACGCACGGACACGTCTGCATGCCACGACAGCCACCGCTGAACTAACCTAACCTAACCTAACCTTTTTTTTTTTTTTTTTTGTGTTTGAACCACGGCGCTACGAGGAGGTACTTCACCCGTGAGGGCCGTCCTTCTCCCCGTATCCGTATCATTTATTGTGAAATTACAAATAAATTACAATAAACGCAACAACAATTACGAGCTTTGCTCAACAAAAAAGAGAGGACTCTACTCCTCTAACTTCCGCCTTCGGCGTACAAAAAATAATTACACTCATTCTACCCTAAGTCGCTGTCGCACCCTTTCCTCGTGCTCCCTTGTGGACTGGACGAGGTTGACGAATCTGACAACTGCTTCCCAATTGCTCCGTTTCTCCACCATGATACTCACGATGTTATCGGGGGACACGTCCTCTTCCACCTCCACCTCCAGCGCCCTGCGTTGTTTCCACCATCTGCCGCAGACGAAGAAGACATGTTCCGCATCATCAACTTGTTCTTGACAATCCACACATGCTGCCGTGTCCAGCTTCCCGATCCTGTGGAGGTATTCACCAAAGCATCCATGATTGGACAGCAGTTGCGTGATGTGGAAATCCAATAACCCATGTTTCCTGCCCCTCCACAAGTTGATGTCTTGGATCAACCTCCTTGTCCATCCTCCATTGCTCTCGTTTGCCCACTCTGTCTGCCATTTCCTCAATGTCTCTGAACGGATCTCTGACGTTGCCCTTGCTGCGTCTGGCTCGTGTCTCCGCTTATATCTCTCGCACCTCTCCCAGGCTAAGAGGTGGGCCGGTATCATCCCTGCGATCACCAACACCGCTGCCGTTGACACCGTCCTGTACGCCATTATGGTCCGTATCGCGATGGCCCTCTGAGGCCTTTCCAACGTCGTTACATTGCGATTAAACGCCATCGCTGCACCCCATATCGGCGCTGCATACAGAAGCTTGCTTGCCACAACCGTAGCCAGGAGGGACCTCTTTTTCTGCCTCGGGCCTCCAATGTTAGGCATAAGCCTTGATAGCGCAGTCGCCGTGACTTGTGCACTGGCCGCTGCCGATTCCACGTGCGCCCTAAACCCGAGTACCCTGTGCAGCACGACTCCTAAATACCTTATGCTCTCTTTCAGTTCGATGCGGCTGCCTAAGATTGAGAGGCTCGGCTGACTGTATCCCCTCTTCGTCGTCAACATGACTGCCTCTGTCTTCCTAACCGACAGAGATAGTCCAGCACCCATCATCCACTCGGCAACTTTATCCAATGCCTGATTGATAACCGTCTCTAGTATCCACGTAGTATGGCCTGTTGCCACCACAGCCACGTCATCGGCGAAGGCCACCAGTTCCGTGGACGACATACCTCGTTCATTGCCTCCTGTGTCCACTTGCAGGAGTTCGTCATACATTATATTCCACAGGAGAGGCCCAAGCACTGAACCTTGTGGGACACCGCACGTGGTGGGTGTTGAGCTCTCTCCGTGGACCACAGTCCGGTCACTAAGGTAGCTCTCGATTATACCAACGAGGTAGGGAGGCATACCTTTATCCCTCATGGCCTTTACTATCCTCGGCCATCTTGCCGAATTGAAAGCATTCGCCACGTCCAACGCCACGACTGCGCACAGCTTTCTGTTGTAAAGCTGTCCAGAGCCGGCTGCTTCTACAACATCCAACACGCGTCTTATGGCGTCCACCGTCGACCGCCCCTTTCTAAAACCGTATTGACGGTCATCGAGGTCACCGGCTTCCTCGAGCTGTTTTTCGATGCGGGTCTTTATTAGTCTTTCGAAAAATTTGCCTACCGTGTTTAGCAAGCAAATTGGTCTATAAGAGGAGGGTTCCTCGAGAGGTTTGTCCCCTTTCCTTAGAAGCACGAGCTTCGCTATCTTCCAACGATGTGGGAAGACGCTCTCCTTTAGACATTTATTAAAGATGTCCCGTAGTATCTCTGGCTTGTGCCTAGCGACGTTTCTTACAATCAGGTCGGGTACACCATCAGGTCCCGGTGCCTTTCCTCGGGGGATCCTGCTGCTGAGCTCCACAATTTCCGTTCTGGTGACCGCTGGGAAGTCATGGGTTTCCATGCGTGGTGGCCAGGCGATGGTTGCCTCCCTCGGGAATAGAGCGTCGACGATCGATTCCACTCTTCCTGGCGTGGAAAGTCCGGGAATGGGTCTCCTACCAACTAGTTTTTTGGTCACCAATTTGTATGGTAGGCCCCATGGATCCACTTCTACCTGTTTCAGTAGGTCGTTCCAGCTGTTCCGTTTGCTGACTCTGATGGCCACTTTCAGTTCTTTCCTAGCACGTCCAAACTCCTCCCGCCTTTGATCCTGATCCGGCTGCAGGCGTCCCCTCTTGACACGGCGTCTCGTTCTGTTGCATTCCTCACGAAGTTTTTCTATCTCCTGCGACCACCAAAAAGCCGGTTTTTTGCCTCCTGTGTACCTGCCCTTAGGCATACAACTGTCGCACGCTTGTTTAAGATACAGGTCGAGCATTTCCGTGGCTGGTATCGCTTCGTCACAGGTGATATCAATACTGGCCAAATTCATAAAGTCCCTTAGCTTGGAGTCGTCGTATCTCCTCCATGACCACCTTTCCTCCGGTGGACGGCGCTCTGGGCCGGCAGCTCCAGTGATGTTAAACGCAATATACTTGTGGAGGGATGCGCTGTAAAGATCCAGTACCCTCCAGTCCTGCACTTGGTAGCTGCTGCTGTCGTTGACAAACGTGATGTCGATATGCGATCTCGATATCCCGCCTGCATACACTCTAGTAAATGTCGGTTTGTCGCCGATGTTGCACGTAGTGAAGCCCAGACTGGCGGTCATGTCGACTAGTGCACGCCCCTTAGGTTCTTCATTGTGGTCGCCCCATACCGGTGCCTTCGCGTTGAAATCACCGGCGATTATGACCGTCCCTGCCTGTTGTCTTATGCTTCCCTCTAGCCTGTCAAGGAAGTCCACGAATAGGGTGAAGACGGTGTTTGGAGACCAATAGCAAGTGTACACAGTGACGTCCTCCACTTTGACCCATCTAAATCCCACGTTGTCTTTTGGGCCGGCGGCTCGTACTTGCAGCCTTGGATTTGATAGAAAGATGGCCGCCTTTCCACCGGCGTCACTGAACCATCCGTCTGCCTCAATCCCACAGCGATACGGTTCACTCATGATAATCACGTCGATGTTCATGTTCGATGCAGTGGCCAGGGCCAGGTCCTGCGCCACTCTGCACACTCCTACATTTATCTGTAGGACACTGATCATTTTGGTGTGCATTTGTCCTCCGTCGCTCCACTCGAGCGATATGATCCTGCGCTAGGCATGGATTTGGACGCCTGCAACACCTCGGCAAAAACGTTTGCCGCTTGATCCGTGGCACTACAGTTGGCCGCTTTGTGGCCAGTTTCGCCGCAGCGCCTGCAGCACTCGGTCCTATCTGGACCTTGGCATGACTTGGCCTCATGGCCGTATGCCAGACACTTAAAACACCTAACTTTGGCGTCGCAGTGCCTGACACTACAGCTCACCATACCCACCCTCAGCCGACCTTGACTAACGATCACCTGCGTAACCTCCTTGGGGGCGGAGACTAAGGCGAGTTGGGCTCCACCGAAGCGCTTCCGCATTCTCACTAGCCTTATCGTGCTCGGGTCGCATCCTGTGGCCGAAGTTATGGCTTCGAGGACCTCAGGTCCATCTGACCATTGGTCCAGGTCCCTGATTTCTACCAGCTCCCTCTGCTGCAGTGTCCTGACACCGATTTCGGCCCCTGCAGATCTCGCAATCTCTGCTCTCACTGCGGACACTTCTTCCGGGTTGCCACGCACCTCAATGAGGAGGCCGCCGGACTTTGCCTGCCTCATCCCCACTACGCGGTTACCAATGACGTCTCGGCATGCCCCACTGCGGATTTTCTTCGCGAGCTCGGGGAAGTCCTCATTGCTGACGTCCACTAGGATGGCCGGGGGGCGTGCTCCCCGTCGACGGCTCGGCACCCGCTCGGTTAATTGGACGTCTGTTTTGTCGCCTTTGTCCTTCTTGCCCTTGCTCCTAACCACGTCCGTCCAGGCTGTCTGCTTTCCCCGCTCTGCCATCTCATCCATCTTTGCGCTCTGCGCTTCGAGCAGCGTCTGCAGATTAGCGACTGCCGCCTTGACTTCCGCGCTGTCGGTGCCGCCAGGTCTGTCGTATTCTCCAGCCTCATTTCCTCCGGACGTCCTTGTGCCAACTCTTGAGATGGCGTCTAGTACTGTCTTATTAGACTCATTAACCACCGCACTTAAGTTCTGGGTCAGAATAGTCACCACTTTCTTGGCGTCCACTACCATAACCTTACTGCCAACTGCCTGGCTCCTCATCACTCTCATCTCGGCGTTATTACTCTCGATGGACCCTATGATGTTGATCACCTGGTCAACGCTCTCCTTGAGCCCCTTTACCTGCGTGCGCTTAGCCATCTCCTTCAAAGACTCTGCCTCAGCCTTGAGCATTCGGAAGAGCCCCGAGTCTTTTCCCTCGAGGTATTCAAGTGTCACTGTGGCTGGCTGTGAGGGCGGGGATTCCATGTCAGAGTTCGGCATGGTGTCCGTGGCAAGGGAGAGGTCCGGCGACCCTTGCCCCCTTTGCTTCTACCACTTCTCCACTCAGCAGCGGGCGGTGAAGCAGTGCAGGGACCAAATCCGAAGGTATCGGAACCTACACTAGCTATGATTGCCGTTTGCCTCACTGTCCCTATCCCGGTTCACTGTCCCTATCCTTTCCCCTAACTCCGCTCCTGGGGGGTGTAGGGGGTTCCGGATTGCGGGATGGTATCCGGTGTGGTCGTAGGAGGTCAAGGGGTTTCGGGGGGGCAAAATTTTACTCCCGAAGCTCTAAAGTGAATTCCTAACGAGTTATTGCCAAAAAACTGTTTTGGAGGCAAATTTAAATTTGCCGCCAAAGGACAGATAATGCCGTCAGTTGGCCGCCGACACTAGGCCACACGCCGTCGGCTGGTCCCCGTCGCCTTATCACGGGGCAGTTCTTCCCCCGACGCGAGAATCAGCTGTTTCGCCGGAATTCCCGTTTTCCACACGGCGGCTTTGGGCGGCCGTGTAAAGAGATAGGGGGTAAAGAAAAACTCAGTTTACTCACCCGTTGTTTGTCGGAAAACTTCGGTCGAGGTGGCCACGGCTTCGTCTTCACCAGACGCGTCTTCTGGGCCACCGCGCGTGAACTTTCCGCGTGTGTTTCGGCCACAATCTTCACGGCGGCACAGGGGCTTGTCCTGTGTGCTTACTCGGCACCGAGGGGTCCGGGGTGGACGCGCGATGCACCGAGCCCTTCGGGAGGGTCCGGTGGGTCTTAATCGGGCCGACTCAAAAGCGACACCGGCCCGAACGCGCACTTTTTATCAAAAAAAACGAATAGTGCGTAGCACAGTAGCTCAGTACACGTGTGTGACACGATAATTGAGATTTCTCGGCGAAAACTCAACCGATTTCCACGCGGTTTGTGGGAATCGACGCAGAGCGGACTAATGCGTCGATTCGAACGTTGCGCGCAAAAAACGGTGAGGTATTACTGGAGAAAAAACAAAAACTCTCGGGAGCGACGCACGGACACGTCTGCATGCCACGACAGCCACCGCTGAACTAACCTAACCTAACCTAACCTAACCTAACCTTTTTTTTTTTTTTTTTTTTGTGTTTGAACCACGGCGCTACGAGGAGGTACTTCACCCGTGAGGGCCGTCCTTCTCCCCGTATCCGTATCATTTATTGTGAAATTACAAATAAATTACAATAAACGCAACAACAATTACGAGCTTTGCTCAACAAAAAAGAGAGGACTCTACTCCTCTAACTTCCGCCTTCGGCGTACAAAAAAAAATTACACTCATTCTACCCCTAAGTCGCTGTCGCACCCTTTCCTCGTGCTCCCTTGTGGACTGGACGAGGTTGACGAATCTGACAACTGCTTCCCAATTGCTCCGTTTCTCCACCATGATACTCACGATGTTATCGGGGGACACGTCCTCTTCCACCTCCACCTCCAGCGCCCTGCGTTGTTTCCACCATCTGCCGCAGACGAAGAAGACATGTTCCGCATCATCAACTTGTTCTTGACAATCCACACATGCTGCCGTGTCCAGCTTCCCGATCCTGTGGAGGTATTCACCAAAGCATCCATGATTGGACAGCAGTTGCGTGATGTGGAAATCCAATAACCCATGTTTCCTGCCCCTCCACAAGTTGATGTCTTGGATCAACCTCCTTGTCCATCCTCCATTGCTCTCGTTTGCCCACTCTGTCTGCCATTTCCTCAATGTCTCTGAACGGATCTCTGACGTTGCCCTTGCTGCGTCTGGCTCGTGTCTCCGCTTATATCTCTCGCACCTCTCCCAGGCTAAGAGGTGGGCCGGTATCATCCCTGCGATCACCAACACCGCTGCCGTTGACACCGTCCTGTACGCCATTATGGTCCGTATCGCGATGGCCCTCTGAGGCCTTTCCAACGTCGTTACATTGCGATTAAACGCCATCGCTGCACCCCATATCGGCGCTGCATACAGAAGCTTGCTTGCCACAACCGTAGCCAGGAGGGACCTCTTTTTCTGCCTCGGGCCTCCAATGTTAGGCATAAGCCTTGATAGCGCAGTCGCCGTGACTTGTGCACTGGCCGCTGCCGATTCCACGTGCGCCCTAAACCCGAGTACCCTGTGCAGCACGACTCCTAAATACCTTATGCTCTCTTTCAGTTCGATGCGGCTGCCTAAGATTGAGAGGCTCGGCTGACTGTATCCCCTCTTCGTCGTCAACATGACTGCCTCTGTCTTCCTAACCGACAGAGATAGTCCAGCACCCATCATCCACTCGGCAACTTTATCCAATGCCTGATTGATAACCGTCTCTAGTATCCACGTAGTATGGCCTGTTGCCACCACAGCCACGTCATCGGCGAAGGCCACCAGTTCCGTGGACGACATACCTCGTTCATTGCCTCCTGTGTCCACTTGCAGGAGTTCGTCATACATTATATTCCACAGGAGAGGCCCAAGCACTGAACCTTGTGGGACACCGCACGTGGTGGGTGTTGAGCTCTCTCCGTGGACCACAGTCCGGTCACTAAGGTAGCTCTCGATTATACCAACGAGGTAGGGAGGCATACCTTTATCCCTCATGGCCTTTACTATCCTCGGCCATCTTGCCGAATTGAAAGCATTCGCCACGTCCAACGCCACGACTGCGCACAGCTTTCTGTTGTAAAGCTGTCCAGAGCCGGCTGCTTCTACAACATCCAACACGCGTCTTATGGCGTCCACCGTCGACCGCCCCTTTCTAAAACCGTATTGACGGTCATCGAGGTCACCGGCTTCCTCGAGCTGTTTTTCGATGCGGGTCTTTATTAGTCTTTCGAAAAATTTGCCTACCGTGTTTAGCAAGCAAATTGGTCTATAAGAGGAGGGTTCCTCGAGAGGTTTGTCCCCTTTCCTTAGAAGCACGAGCTTCGCTATCTTCCAACGATGTGGGAAGACGCTCTCCTTTAGACATTTATTAAAGATGTCCCGTAGTATCTCTGGCTTGTGCCTAGCGACGTTTCTTACAATCAGGTCGGGTACACCATCAGGTCCCGGTGCCTTTCCTCGGGGGATCCTGCTGCTGAGCTCCACAATTTCCGTTCTGGTGACCGCTGGGAAGTCATGGGTTTCCATGCGTGGTGGCCAGGCGATGGTTGCCTCCCTCGGGAATAGAGCGTCGACGATCGATTCCACTCTTCCTGGCGTGGAAAGTCCGGGAATGGGTCTCCTACCAACTAGTTTTTTGGTCACGAATTTGTATGGTAGGCCCCATGGATCCACTTCTACCTGTTTCAGTAGGTCGTTCCAGCTGTTCCGTTTGCTGACTCTGATGGCCACTTTCAGTTCTTTCCTAGCACGTCCAAACTCCTCCCGCCTTTGATCCTGATCCGGCTGCAGGCGTCCCCTCTTGACACGGCGTCTCGTTCTGTTGCATTCCTCACGAAGTTTTTCTATCTCCTGCGACCACCAAAAAGCCGGTTTTTTGCCTCCTGTGTACCTGCCCTTAGGCATACAACTGTCGCACGCTTGTTTAAGATACAGGTCGAGCATTTCCGTGGCTGGTATCGCTTCGTCACAGGTGATATCAATACTGGCCAAATTCATAAAGTCCCTTAGCTTGGAGTCGTCGTATCTCCTCCATGACCACCTTTCCTCCGGTGGACGGCGCTCTGGGCCGGCAGCTCCAGTGATGTTAAACGCAATATACTTGTGGAGGGATGCGCTGTAAAGATCCAGTACCCTCCAGTCCTGCACTTGGTAGCTGCTGCTGTCGTTGACAAACGTGATGTCGATATGCGATCTCGATATCCCGCCTGCATACACTCTAGTAAATGTCGGTTTGTCGCCGATGTTGCACGTAGTGAAGCCCAGACTGGCGGTCATGTCGACTAGTGCACGCCCCTTAGGTTCTTCATTGTGGTCGCCCCATACCGGTGCCTTCGCGTTGAAATCACCGGCGATTATGACCGTCCCTGCCTGTTGTCTTATGCTTCCCGCTAGCCTGTCAGGAAGTCCACGAATAGGGTGAAGACGGTGTTTGGAGACCAATAGCAAGTGTACACAGTGACGTCCTCCACTTTGACCCATCTAAATCCCACGTTGTCTTTTGGGCCGGCGGCTCGTACTTGCAGCCTTGGATTTGATAGAAAGATGGCCGCCTTTCCACCGGCGTCACTGAACCATCCGTCTGCCTCAATCCCACAGCGATACGGTTCACTCATGATAATCACGTCGATGTTCATGTTCGATGCAGTGGCCAGGGCCAGGTCCTGCGCCACTCTGCACACTCCTACATTTATCTGTAGGACACTGATCATTTTGGTGTGCATTTGTCCTCCGTCGCTCCACTCGAGCGATATGATCCTGCGCTAGGCATGAACCTAACCTAACCTAACCTAACCTTTTTTTTTTTTTTTTTTTTTTTTTTTTGTGTTTGAACCACGGCGCTACGAGGAGGTACTTCACCCGTGAGGGCCGTCCTTCTCCCCGTATCCGTATCATTTATTGTGAAATTACAAATAAATTACAATAAACGCAACAACAATTACGAGCTTTGCTCAACAAAAAAGAGAGGACTCTACTCCTCTAACTTCCGCCTTCGGCGTACAAAAAAATAATTACACTCATTCTACCCTAAGCCGCTGTCGCACCCTTTCCTCGTGCTCCCTTGTGGACTGGACGAGGTTGACGAATCTGACAACTGCTTCCCAACCAATGGCTCCGTTTCTCCACCATGATACTCACGATGTTATCGGGGGACACGTCCTCTTCCACCTCCACCTCCAGCGCCCTGCGTTGTTTCCACCATCTGCCGCAGACGAAGAAGACATGTTCCGCATCATCAACTTGTTCTTGACAATCCACACATGCTGCCGTGTCCAGCTTCCCGATCCTGTGGAGGTATTCACCAAAGCATCCATGATTGGACAGCAGTTGCGTGATGTGGAAATCCAATACCTGTTTCCTGCCCCTCCACAAGTTGATGTCTTGGATCAACCTCCTTGTCCATCCTCCATTGCTCTCGTTTGCCCACTCTGTCTGCCATTTCCTCAATGTCTCTGAACGGATCTCTGACGTTGCCCTTGCTGCGTCTGGCTCGTGTCTCCGCTTATATCTCTCGCACCTCTCCCAGGCTAAGAGGTGGGCCGGTATCATCCCTGCGATCACCAACACCGCTGCCGTTGACACCGTCCTGTACGCCATTATGGTCCGTATCGCGATGGCCCTCTGAGGCCTTTCCAACGTCGTTACATTGCGATTAAACGCCATCGCTGCACCCCATATCGGCGCTGCATACAGAAGCTTGCTTGCCACAACCGTAGCCAGGAGGGACCTCTTTTTCTGCCTCGGGCCTCCCATGTTAGGCATTAGCCTTGATAGCGCAGTCGCCGTGACTTGTGCACTGGCCGCTGCCGATTCCACGTGCGCCCTAAACCCGAGTACCCTGTGCAGCACGACTCCTAAATACCTTATGCTCTCTTTCAGTTCGATGCGGCTGCCTAAGATTGAGAGGCTCGGCTGACTGTATCCCCTCTTCGTCGTCAACATGACTGCCTCTGTCTTCCTAACCGACAGAGATAGTCCAGCACCCATCATCCACTCGGCAACTTTATCCAATGCCTGATTGATAACCGTCTCTAGTATCCACGTAGTATGGCCTGTTGCCACCACAGCCACGTCATCGGCGAAGGCCACCAGTTCCGTGGACGACA